GACATTTGAGGATTTCTCCGGTTACCGGGTCTCGGTGGTCAAAGGTGGGAACAGGATCCACCACTGAGGCACCACAGAGTGAACCAGAGAGCAGGACCAGCGCTGTCGCGATAAGCTGTGAAGAGAAATGACACGTGACATTATGCGAAAAATTAAAAAACAACAACAAAAAAGTACGCTCCCAATATTACACCAGAGATAAGACATACTGAGTTCCCAACAAACATGTCGACGATGAACCCGCGTGTCTTGAAGTCTTGACGTCTTAGGTTTATGTGTTGATGTTTAAATCACGGGAATTCCCCACATCCTTACCGCGATGACGCTATCCACGCTTGGAAAACATTTGCGCACGTACAGACGTTAGGTACGGTTCATATGCGGTCGCTATTCGTTTCGCCTTTAGGTGCACCTCGTAAATTCAGCCATCTCTACTCCCAAGGACATAAGGCTGTTTAAAAGGCTTTTTTGGGTCAATGTTTCCGTTGTTGGGATAAACACGTGTCTTTAATAACTTTGTTGTTCTTGATGCCTTGTTTTATATAATTCAGTGCTGAAATCATAACAATAAGGTAGCTTCTAAAAGTGAAACATGAAAGCTATCACATAGGTCTTGGTAATGTGTTAAATAAAAAAAATATTATAGGATTTGTTGAATTACAAAAATAGACTTGTTTTGAGATGAAACTTTCAGAAGTTTTGAATTATATACAACATGGCATCAAAAAGAGTAACAAAGTCATTAAAGGTATGTTTATCCAAACAAAGGAAAATTAATCCAAAACAACAACCTTATGTCTTTGGGTGTACAGATTGATGAACTTACGAGGTGCGCCTGAAGGCACCATGAATAGCGACCTCATATTAAACCGTACATAACGCTGTAGATGCGCAATTGTTTTTTCAAGCGTTGATGACATGACTACAAGTGGTTGAAAAACAGTAGTGGTGTGCGGATCGATACTGACATATGGATTCCTCCAATAACAGATATTTATCCTCTGGAATTGATTTTCATATTAAAGTATCCTCATTTTATCAATTTAGGGGAAATTTGCAGTTGATTATCAGGACCATTGTGTCGATTGCTGGGAACACTTCTTCTTCCGCCTGTCATAGTTATATGCGAAACACCGCTGTTTAAATACTGAAAAACATTTCATACACAATGCAGTTAGATAATAATTCGCGTCTATAAAATGTTTCTCAGCTATAATATTTTCAGTCATACTAGTTAGTGATTGTTAATTTAATATTTTAAAATTTTGGTATTGACTTTTCAAGTTTTGTATTTATTGTTTGATAATTCTTCATAATTAAACAATAACAACAATTAGTCTGATGACTTTTCATTAGGAAAGTCCTATTCCTATTCATTAGGAAGGTATAATTGGAAATACACTACTTTGTATGGATCCCCGTGGTCGGCCTCCGGACCTGCTCCATCCCTTCCATTGGTCACTTGGCCAGCCACCTGAACCGTTTTGTTTTGGACTGAGTTTCCTTAGATCACGGCCAGCCTTCAGAACTGTTTTTTACCATGTTCTTGGACTTTTGCTCTTGCTTTTTGGACTCGGTGTATTTGTATTCTATTTTTGTGAGTGTTTTGGTATTATTATAATTTAAGTTTAACTAGTTAGTTCTGAGATCATTCTTACTATGTCTCTGAGGTTGCTTGTGATCATTTGTTTCTTAGGTTCCCTTTTGTCCTCTGTGTGTTTGTGTGTGTCCTTGTCTTTTTTTCCCTCTTGTGTTTACGTGTTCCCCTCCTTGTGTTTCCTTCCATGGCTCCCCTGTTTGTCATGTCAGTTCATGTATCTTCACCCCGGTAAGGTTGGCGATATATCGACTATCTGAGTCTATAGGCTGAGGTTATTGTCAATCGTTTTTACAAGGGAGATTTTTTTATTTATTTGCCCATGAGTAATTTTGCTAATAATGTTGGCTGATGACCTCTCCTGGACTGCAAATACCACGGCAGTGGTAAAAAAAAGGCCCAGCAGTGTCTCCATTTTTTGAGAGTGCTCAGGAGGAACAACCTGGAGGAGAGGCTGCTGGTGACATTCTATAGAGCCACCATAGAGAGCATCCTAACGTACGGCATAACAACATGGTATGCAGGGTGCTCAGTTGCAGATAGGAAAGTACTGCAGAGGGCCATCAACACAGCCCAGAAGATCACTGGCTGCTCTCTGCCCAGCCTGGAGGCCATTGCAAACTATCGGTACCTCAGCAGAGCTGGCAATATCATTAAGGACTACTCTCACCCTAGTAATCAACTGTTTGAACTATTACCGTCAGGCCGACGGTACAGGTCACATAAAACCAGGACAAACAGATTCAGGGATAGCTTCTTTCCCAGAGCTATCACCGTAGTAAATAAGCACAAAAACAATTGAACCTGCTTAACTATACCATACTTGCCACTGTCACTATATTATGCTGCTGTTCATACTATCATTACAGTGGGGCAAAAAAGTATTTAGTCAGCCACCGATTGTGCAAGTTCCCCCACTTAAAATGATGACAAAGGTCAGTCATTTGCACCAGAGGTACACTTCAACTGTGAGAGACAGAATGTGAAAAAAATCCATGAATTCACATGGTAGGATTTGTAAAGAATTTATTCGTAAATCAGGGTGGAAAATAAGTATTTGGTCACCTCAAACAAGGAAAATCTCTGGCTCTCACAGACCTGTAACGTCTTCTGTAAGAAGCTTTTCTGTCCCCCACTTGTTACCTGTATGAATGGCACCTGTTTGAACTCATCATCTGTATAAAAGACACCTGTCCACAGCCTCAAACAGTCAGACTCCAAACTCCGCCATGGCCAAGACCAA